TCAAAAATCAAAAAAAACGGAATCCCGAGAGAAAAATCCCAATGACAAAACTCTGGCACTTCTATCCCACTCACTGCCAGAATTCAAGGGTAGCGCAAGGCTATCAAATTGACTTAGATCTAAAGCCAAATTTGATTTGTTTTATTGATTTGCGAGTCTATGCTAGCAAAGAGTGCTTTCCTAAGTATTCATCTCTTTCTACGCTGCCTGTGACTTTTCTTCCTTGTTCTCACAAATGTTCTTAACGTCGGCAGTAAGAGTGCTTCCCTGAGTATCCGTAGTCACTTTCTGCTCCGTCTGTGGCTTATCTTCCTTTTTTGGCTTGCAGGAACTGCCTGCACCGACCATGAGAATAGGACGTTGACGGCAGATATATCCGTCGCCACATTCGCTATCAGCATTGCAGTTCTTGTTGATAACGTTCAGGCAGGTGAGCAATTCTTCATCTACCTTGCCTTCCTTCTCGCATTCCCTCTTCTTTAAGTCGCAGCCAGACGTAGGGTGAATTTCAGTAGCGGCCGTAGACCACCCACGCTCCTTGCAAATTGACTCGATCTTGTTAGCGGAGGCGTATTGTCGGGGACTGTGGACAGGCCCGGCTATAGCTAGCCCGACACAGATAACGAAAATATTGAGGTACTTCATCTTGTTGAGCTGTGATGTATTCGGTGGGAGCGAACGTAGGTTTGGTGAGTAGTGTGAAAAGAAGATGTTTCTTGGATATTTAAGTTAAGGTAGTTTACTTACTCTAAATACTAAGCATAGGAAGTCCTTACTAAGCACTTATAAGAATTGTAATTCAGTAGTAAAGGGTAGATTATGCGTCTATTTATGCCCTGAGTCATGTTACAAGCTATATATGCTAAGTCCTATCGTGTCTTATTATACCTTAAACAATAAGTAAATCATGGCTAGAAAAGTCATGACTTGCAACTAACCAGCTTGATCAAGCTAAGTGGGCTATACTTGGACTGTTACTACTCGTAGGCTACTTATACAATGATGGCTTATTCTAACTTACGATCGGTCTATTACTTAGGAATAGTAGTAGTAGAAGTGTATTTTTTTCGTCCAGTAGGCCGCTCAGATTCCCTAACAAGAGGCATAGGACTACAAATCTGTCGACATTACATATAAGTTGGTCGAATTAGAGTCCTAGTGGGGCTGCCTGGGTTAGCTCCCCCATCACGCTCTCTCTAACGTAACAAACTATCATCCAGCATGGTATTAGCTCAAAGGCACCCACGTCCAGACTCTTCGTCCGTCAACGGCCGTGGAATGTACGAAAAAGAGTCGCAAGAGTCGCCGTTTTGTGGTGGGGCCAGGAGAAAACCCTCTACAGGGGCTGCACACTAGAACTCTCAATTGGCAGTTGGTGCTAACATCTAAAGCAATAGAGTCGGTTTGATAGGTTGTCCAAGCATAATAGCTAATGCGTCAGGTAAAAGCAGACAACTGCAATGTGTTTGAAAGTTAACCGTGAGCCCAAAATCTATCATTGCTCGCTAGTTTTTAGGCATGATATTGAACTTCATGCAAAGAACATATTACAAGACATAGACTAATAGAACTGAATCATGAGTTAGCTATCGTAACGGATACCTTCACTGCGACTTATCATGCCATATTCCATCTGATATCGTCTGAGTGGGTACTACTGGCCAATCAAATTGACCAAGTCTGACTTGGCAACACAACTTCCAGCGCGTGGGGGTCATACGAGATGTTGCGATTGCTTTCAAGAGGTCTGTGCTGAATCGGTTGAATACTTTGCTTTGTGAAAGGGAAAGATAGTCGCGCAAGCATGATTCAGAGCCGCGTCTAGGCTTTGATAATGGTCTGACTCCGGGGTTGCCGGTCCGCGTCAGCCGTTACTCACTTATGGATGAGGGTATTATATCCGGTTATACCGCCAGGACAGGAAGCGCTGAAACTGACCGTGCTATCGAAAACGTCACGCCATCGTGGAGCAGCATCGTCTACGGTGTTGCGTCAGCAAAAGTCTGGTACCTATATAGTATGGCCGCCAAGTATACACTTACTTACAGTATTATAGACACTAAAGCCTACCATTGAGGCCCAGCAATACCGCCACCAATACTTTGTCGAGTTTGCCCAGAATGTCCCAAATAATCAGCGCTTACACATCCGCACCTGGAGGGCCCCAGAGTGTGTTGTTGTGTTCAGGCACAGTAGTCTCGTTAATGTAGCCTTTCCCGCGTCTTTCTTCGTTGAGCACAAGACTGACGAGCGCAACGCTTCTACATCAGGTCGAAGGCCTGGGCCAGCCAGGATGAAGCGTTGTAATTGAGGGCGCGAGACGCAACCAAGCGGGCTTTTGTGGCAGGCTTTGTCGCAGATTGAAGGTATATGTTGGCTACTAGGGGTATTACTTACGCCTTGGAGCCGCCATTGCTGGACCCTCTTAGGTCTCTGTGGTCGAGTGGTCTACCGAGCAGCCCACGTTACAGCTTTTGACCTGTGCTGTAATACAGCTACTTCAATCGGCCGCGGGACAGGGCGCTCCTCAGCAGAACAAGCCTGCTCCCCAGAAGACCCAGCAGGAGCGCGCCAGGGAAGCTCAGCAACTTTTCTCGCAGTGCAGGGGTGAGCAGACTTCCAAATAAACAAATCAACTTAAATCTGGCTCCGGATATAGTGTAATTTGGAATCAGAAAAGTTTAATCTGATTTAATTTGATTTGCCTGCTTGTTGATTTGATTTATTTAACTCATTCAGCTTATTTGTACCTTTAGTCCCTTAGATACATTATAGTCTCGACACCTGGTCTTCTCTAAACCAGCGTGGCCTTCTAGCTATTGTGGCCTACTTCATCGACGATACAAGCAGGCAGCCGCGCAAGGCTTTGCTTGCTCTACGGGAGCTCAAAGGTACGCCCAGTGGCGTGTCTCTGGTAGAGATCTTCACCGAAGTTATTGATCCGTATAGAGTGCGCGATAAGATTAGATTCTTTACCTTAGTATTAACACTTTGCTGCGTACTCTCGCAAACACCTTCGACTCTGACCTAGCTTACCGCCGGCTGCGCTGGCATGGGCATGTCAACAATCTGACCGTGCAGGCATTCTTATTTAGGAAGAACGAGGATGCCTCCGACGAGGCAATGCGTCAGGTAACACTCCTATCCCACGGAGAGCATGACGGTCTGGGCAAGAGGGACACAACCTGGTGGTATGGATTCGCTCATCAACGCAACGTTATCAGGCTTTTGTGCAGGCAACCGGACGTATAATCCCGCAATTCGATAAGATAGAACTCATGGTACTATATGATCTATGTTGCTTTTAGCCTACGCAAGGAGGTCAACAAATTTATCAACGACAGATGTTTTAACGATATTCAACTTAATTAGTTTCATCCTAAGTCCTAGCAGGAGCTACAGGAGCTACACTCTTTTCTAGAGCCATATTACAAAGTAACTAAAGACAATTAGTGGGATAAGTCTTTGTTAGATCAAGTAATTTGCTCTATGGACTTTTTATCACACACTACAAGGCTACTATACAGCGGTACCGCGGCAACGTTACTATGGCTGAACGAATCCGGACGAGTTGGTATCAATTCGACGGTTACTACACCCGAACTGATAATAGCCCGGCCTACACAGCTGCTATTCTACTTCACCCTAGCCTCCGGATGGCGCATATGACAGAAGCGTGGAAAGATTAAGCTTAATAGATCAAACCGGCGATTCGAGCTCTGCGTACGCTCTAGGAGGGCTTTAAGCGGAAGAAAGAGCCTGAAGTAAAAGAAGACTTATTTGCTTACGAGGCGAATGAGGAATGAATCTATTAAACGTCATCGACTGACGATGAGCTCGGTCGGTTCATCAAAGGGCCCGCTCTACCAATTGGAGCATCCTCTGCCCTTTCTTAGTGGCTTGAGCCCACGCAACAAACCTCTTATCTCTTTGCCCTTGGTATTTCTCTTCTATACCAGCGATGTCGGCCGAGGCCGAGAGGG